GGGGGGGGGGTGGCACAGCAATGGGTCCAGCAGGCAGAGAGAGGAAGGACTGGCAGGTGGAGCAGTGGAAGGAGCCCTGGATTCTGAGCTAGGAACCTGGGGTCTCCTGAGTCCATTATTAAGTGGCTTTCAACTCTGGGCCTGTCCCCACGTCCGATCCAGTGTCTGCCCTCCAATCTCTCAGAATTCTTAAGGCTGTCTACAAATGCAACCCCTTTTCTCCCCTTCCTCTGTAACAACCCTGGGTCCAGTCACCACTCCTAGATGAGTGCCAGAGCCTGCCAACAGGTCTCCCCTTTCTCCCTCACCCCTGTGGTCTGTTCTCCGCTCAGCAGCCAGACTGAACTTTTCAAACCCCAAGTCAGTTTGGTAGCAACTCTTGTCTTCCCATGTCACTCAGAGGAAAAGCCAAAGAGCATGCTGGGCCCACACGGCTACCTGGACCCACCCCTGGCCATCTGCTACCTGCGTGACTTCGTCTCCTACTCTCTCCCTCACTTTCCCTGCCCCACAGACCCCCTTGCTTGTCTGTGATGACAACACTCTCTGGCCTTTGCACTTTCCTTTTCCTGTGTTAGATGTTCTTTCCTCCCACAACTCTTTCATATCTCTGTTCATATGTCACCATATTGAGCGGCCCACCTCTCACTTCACCACCTTTCCCCTCAACTCCTGCCAGTATCCTGCTTTTGTTTATCTGAGGATGGACCACACCCTGGAAAACGTGTTTGATTGTTGCTGGCATTTTCTCCCCCTAGGGTAGGGGCTTCCTTTTGTTCACTGCTCTATTCCCAATGACTCTAACAGGACTTGGCATGGATTTGGTGCTCAATAAATCTTTACGGAATAATGTGGAGTAAATAAAAGTGCTCAGAAAATAAAGTAGAAACTATGGCACAGAGCAAAGCATTGCTATCATCTCTTCACTAGGTGGCCCCATGGTCTTTATCAAATGCAGGTGCCCTGCGTGGAGGCCAGAGGGAAGGCTGCAAGTTCACTGACCACAGAGCTGCCCATCTGAGGCAGGTCAGCCGGGGGCGAGGCAGGTTACACATGGTCCCTACAGTGAGCTGCCTCCACAGCTGTGTAAGTGACTTGGGCCTCTAAAAAGGGCTTTGTCTGCAACAGCGGGTATGACCAGAAGCCAAAACATCTGCCAATGCCTCTGACCCCATGGGTGACTCTGAGGGTAACGGCTCCCAAGGGTGGCATGAAGCCTGATTTCCCTAGGCTCCAGCCACAGAAGCCCACTCACCCCCTTGCCAAGTAAGGCCACTCTACTTCCAAACTCAGTCCTTCACTTGCTGGACCCCCACACCCTCATGCTCAGCGGGGAAGGAGCAGGCAGGGTCTGGAGGATCCATGGGACATATCCGGGCTCTGACCTCTTTTGGGGCTTCGTTGCAGATGAACTCCTCAAAGATCCTCTGAGCCCGGGAGGCCAGCTTGCTGGCGGACCGGATCTTCTTGAACTCCTCGCAGGCCAGCCAGAACTCCAGGTTCTCCTCGCTGAACTCCGTCTTTAGGAAAGCGTGGAAGGCAGCCACCCCATCTGGGTTGGAGGGAGAAAGGAAGAGACTGGTCAGACTGAGGAACAGCAGGGAATAAAAGAAGAAAAGACAGCAATTGCAGTTAATAGCTCTATTTTTAGGACGCAATTTTCTCAAACAAGGACCTGCCTTTGTATTTGAATAGAGGCTGGCACACTAGGGGATCATTATTATTATTACTACTACTATTATCTTGCCCGCGCTTTCAGCATCCTTCAGGCTGGCTCCCAAGCACATGAGCACACACGTGCCATCCACAGACACACACAACAGGGTCCTACTCACTTTTACTGCTCAGCAGCAAGTCGAACGACTCTCTCCAGCCCAGCACATCTTCTGAGAAGTTTCTGCTTAAAAAACAAAAAGGCCAAGATTTTAATTTAAAGAAAAAAATCAACAAATGAATGCATAGCACAAATCCTAGCCAGAATGCTGACGAGAGTTGCATAATTCCCATAGCAAAGGCTTGCTTGGTGATTAATGGAGTTGTTAGGGGAAACAGCAGTGCTTTCTAGAGGACAAGTCAGTAACTAGGAACCAAACCCAGGCACCGTTTGACCCTCAGTAAATATCTTCTAAGACTGTCTCTTCGTTGTCCAAAATTCTTTCTTTTCCCCTCTCAGAGCATTGTTTTGTATTCTTCCCCAAGGAAAGAAGGGCCTTGGGAGTAAAAGGTATGTCACCCAGAACCCCAGAGCCTAGCACAGCACCTGGGACAGTTGACGTTCAATATGAAAAGGCTTCTAGGCAAGGTGCATACTAGTGGAAGCAGAGCCATTGATTAAAAACCTCAAGTGGTCTTGGACCCTGTCCTAGCCCTGGTTGCATGAGCAATGACATCTCCAGGTGGGAGAGTCTGGTAACTAGACATTCAGGCCCTGGGTACATTCATTTGTTGGCAGGCTTGGAACCCTGGAGCCACCCATCCATCCATTAGCCAAGCAGCCAGAGCAGACTCGCAAGAAGCCCCACTAAAATCTCCAGGAAGGGGTCACCAAGGTCCACCCTAGCACGTCCTAGTTTCTCCTTCCCCAAACCTGGCTCTGTCTCCTCTAGGGGCCCTAGGCTGGTCAGCAGGACTTACCTCTCTTTGCTGTGTTTACTGTTCCACTCGAACTTGCCAACATTCCCAGTATCGGAGCTGAGGTCTGATTTGTGAAGAAAGATCCCCAGCCGTGTCTTGAATTCTTTGGCTCTGGAAGACAAAGCATGGGCATATAAGGAACTCTCCATTTGCTCAGCCGGGGCAGAGGGGGTTATGGGGTCTTGGAGGAGCTCAGGATGGCGCCACCCAAATTCCAGCCTCGGGGGTCCCTGGGAACCCTGGGCTCTTCCCACAGCCTAAACTTTACTTCTCTCCTTAGGATCATGAAACCCCCAAACAATGAAAGCAATGTTTGTGCTGTGCCTCAGGAGATCTTATACTTTCTGAGTTTACAGCCCTTCAGACACTCAAGTCACACTGCTCTCACCCTCTAGGCTGGCACTGAATATTTCTGGAACTGCGTGGAAACTGATTCCTCACCTTTACCTTTTCCTTCCCGGCCACCAGCTCCAGCAAGGATAGGAGGCGGGGGAGTAGCTCCCTGGGAAGGGGGCGCATCCCTCAAGGGGGGGACTTGAAAAACACCTCCCTGCCTTCCCAGGGCCAGAGGAGGCCATGCCCTGAGAGCTGGGCTGTGAAATGAAAGCCAAGCGCTTAAGAAACTGAGGGGGACCCCTGGGCCTGGTGATGCCAGCACGGTCTTGGGCAGGCCACCCGAGAAGGCCTGACATTGATCAGCGGGTGGAGAACCACAGTGAGCTGCGGTCCCTCTTTTTCATTCTCCCTTTTCTTGCTCGGGCTCTTGTCTGAGACTCTAAGGGAAGCGGCTGGGCATGTGGCACCAGGGCGGCCTCCGCCTCTCCGTGCCGTCAGCAGCACCCTGTCAT